AACATGAAGAATGGAGGTCGTCGCCTCTGCTTTGCAGCTTCTGATGGTCTAAATGTGTCAGCCAACAGCAGCAGTTCCTTTGGTGTAGCCGCAAATATTGTGGCAAAAGCAGAGTCGGCCACTATTGCATCCTCCTCAGCCACAATGTGATCATTGTCGGAATCTAATTCAGTTTTGTCCGCTTGAGATTTCTCTGATGATTCAACCTCAACATGAACTTCATGAACTTCAACTTCATTTCCTCCGTTTTCATCTCCATCTAGCTTATCTAGTACAATGGCTTCCCCTACCATTTCCGCCTCTGATGTTTGTAGTATTTCAATAGGTGTCGTCTCCTCGATCTCTTTTCGATCATTGTCGGAATCTAATTCAGTTTTGTTCGCTTGAGATTTCTCTGATGATTCGACCTCAACATGAACTTCATGAACTTCAACTTCATTTACTTTGTTTTCATCTCCATCTTGCTTATCTAGTACAATGGCTTCCCCTACCAATTCCTCCTCTGATGTCTGTAGTGTTTCAACAGGTATCGTCTCCTCGGTCTCTTTTCGTAGCTCATCCTTTATACTTTGAAACTTTGTCCTCATCTCTCGAAATCCTTCGGTCATCCTCCGTAATCCTTCCGCTGCGTTGTCTAGATGCTTTAGGCATTTCTCCAGTTTCCATCGCAGCAAGATTGGATCATATTGATGTAGAAAACTTCCCATGGATTGTATGGCTCTGATACCTTTGATGGAATCACAGCTCTGAAATATGTATTAATCAATAGAAAAATATAGCTCCACAGAGTGTAAGTCTTATGGAGTTCACCTAAACAAAAGGAAACAACTCAACTGTGCATTCGAGAGGCACAGAAACTCTCCTCACAATTCACTCATCACAATTTTCCCCCCTTATCCCAATAACCAGGTCCCTATTATATAACCCCTCTTTCTCACCGACTGTTAAATGGCAAATACCACAAATACCCACACTCACATGGTATACGCCCCATATCTCAATATTATCCTTATACCCAACATAATACAATAGCCTTTTCAAGTGCGTAGCCCGTGGCCCTTCTCCCCTTTTGATTAGCTGTTGTATAATGTCCTTCAAGTTAGCATCCTGAGAAATTTCTTGCTCAAGATCTGCTATGCCCTTATACTGCCACAGGGAGAAAGCCTTCAATTCCAGATCGGCCTCTTGACGGGATAAGGCGTTAGCTGCTCTATTGTCCTTTCTCGGTTTATATTGGATTTCGAACTTATACCCCATAAGCTTGGTGACCCACTTATTCTAGTCGGGAGCAATTATTCTTTGTTCCAATAAGTATTTGAGAGTTTTTTGGTCTGTCTTGACGATGAAAGGGTGGCTATTAAGATAGTGTTGCCATTTTTTAACAGCAAGCACGATGGCCATGAGTTCCCTTTCATAAACAGAGTAATGCTGATGTCTTTCTGCCAGCTTCTGACTGAAAAAGGCAATCGGTCTCCCTTGCTGCATGAGTATTGCCCCAACTCCCTTTCCTGATGTGTTAGTTTCTATCTCAAAGGGTAAATTAAAGTTTGGAACAACCAGCACTGGAAGAGTTGTCATAGCAACTTTGAGATTGTTAAAGGCCTTTTGGGTGTGGTCATCCCACTTGACAGAGTCTTTCTTGAGTAGTTGAGTTAGAGGGGCCATTATCTTGCCATAATCTTTCAGAAACTTTCTATAATACCTGGTCAAATCGAAGAACCCATGCAGTGCCTTCAGGTTGTTGGGCTCGGACCAATTTACCATGGCCTCAATCTTCAAAGGGTCAAATTTGACTCTTGTTACTGAGATTGTGACCCAGGTATTCAATTTGTGGTTGATTGAATATGCACTTCTTAGGATTGATCACCAATTGATGCTGCTTCAACACATTCATAGTGGCCCTCAAATGTTCCTTGTGTAATTTCCTGTTCTTACTGTACATGAGGATATCATCAAAAAATACAAGAATGAATTTTCTCAAATATTCTCTAAAAATGCCATTCACAAGTGATTGGAAAGTAGAAGGGGCGTTGGTCAAACTGAAAGGCATAACCTTAAACTTGTAATGACCATTGTGGGTGTGGAATGCTGTTTTGTATTCGTCTCCTTCCTTGATTCTGATCTAGTGATACCCTGACTTCAGGTCCAGTTTGGTGAATATCGTATCTTCCCCCACCTCATTGAGCAGTTCATCAATTGCTGGTATGGGATATTTATCAGGGACAGTGATTTGGTTCAAAGCTCTATAGTCCATGCAAAATCGCCAGCTTCCGTCTTTCTTCTTAACCAGTAATACAGGATTGGAATATGGGCTGGTGCTAGGCTGGATGATGCCTACGAGCAACATCTCCTTTACAAGCTTCTCAATCTCAACCTTCTGAGCATGCCCATACTGATACGGATGAGTATTTGGTGGAAGAGCTTCTTCCCGAACTCACATAGCATTAGCATGGTCCCGTCGGGGAGGTAACTCCCGAATCGGTCTACTTACCTCAAGGAACTCGCTGAGTATCTTCTCCATCTCCATGTCATTTGAATGCTGCCTTATGCTTGCTTCGCTCTCAATCGCCCTTAGTTCCACGAAATACCCCATCCCTTCTTCCCGAACAGCCTTCTTAAGCGCCTTCAGGGATGCGTGGGTCTGGGTCTGTGTCTGCGTTTACGTCTGCCTCGGGTCTCCCTTGAGGCACACCTACCGGTTGTGAATTTGTGCCTTCATGTAGAGCTGTCACCAATTCATCTTGGTTTCTCCTAAAGATTCAACCCACTCCACTCCAAGGACCAAATCAACGTTTCCCAGATTAATTGGGTAGAAGGGTTGCTTAATCTCAATTCCTTGTATTTTGAGCTCAATCTCTGGGCCCTTTTGGTTTGCAATGATCCTCCTCCCATCTCCCACTGTTACCCTGTAGCTTGTCATGGTTACCGTCAGTATTTTAAGGGTCTCCACCATGGAGCGGGCAACGAAGTTGTGGGTTGCTCCACAATCGATTAGAACTAGCACCTCTTTTCCCCGCACCTTCCCTCGTATCTTCAACGTTCGTTTCCCGGTTAGCCTAACTACAGTGGTCATGGACGACTCTAGTGTGGCCATGTTCTTTTCCCCTGGCTCTTCTTCCGAGTCTTAGGCCTCTACCCCGTCTTTGTCCGAGCCCTCATTATCTTTCTCTAAAACAATCAGCTTAAGTTGTTTATTCTTGCATTTGTGGTTGGGCCCATACTTCTCTTCGCATTGAAAGCAGAGGCTCAATTCTCTCCTTCGGTTTATCTCGGCCTTCAATAGCCGCTTTCTCGTTGCACTACTCCCACTAGAACTTACAACTGACATGTTCGATGGCGTCACACGGGTGGTAGTCGCCTTTGCCTCCTCGGTGCTCTTGGCATTGCTGTTCTTGGTATTTGGTAGTGACAGGGGGTTCCTTAGCAATTCAATTGCACTAAGCTTTGGAGCGAAAGACTTGAAATCATTTCAACAAGTTGCAGGGGGAGCCCAAGCAGCCTTGTTCTTCTTCTCCTCACATTTTCCTTCAACTTGTTGTGGTCTTCAACTTGCGTAGCGTAATCCATTGCCTGTTTCAGACTTAGGGTGCATTAACTTGACATCACATCTAATTTCTTCTTTGAGGCCGTTCATAAACGCGACCATGGGAACCTCATCACTCACATTCTCTAGAGGGGCCGGTAGTAACTTAAATTGCTCTCAGTATTCCTTGACTGTGCCCTCTTGTTTGAGGGCAAAAAGTTACTCGTATTCATCCCCAACCTGACGGCAATGGAACCTGTTAGTTACTTCTTTCTTGAGTTCCTGCCATGACGCCACAGGGGAACGAGATTCAAGCCATTGGAACCATGTGATGGCCTTCCCCTCCATCCAATCTCTTTGCCTCTTGAATGCCGTTCACAGAGAAATACCGTTCCACTCTATGTATCCACCCTAGTGGGTCCTTCCCTAAAAATAGAGGTAGCTCCAGTTTTCTATGCTTAGTTGGGTCATTCTGTCTTGTACCCTCTCAGTTATGTGCTTCTATCTTGATCCTCAGTTCTGCCAGCTGCTCCTGATGAGCCTCTGGTCGCTCTGGTCCCTCATTTCGACCCATTGTCTGGATAGCTGCTTGGAACTCGTTCAGTTGCTCTATGATAAAGTTCACCTTATCGTCCATCCGGGTCAACTTTTTTGTGGTCTCTACCTGCCTCCCTTGTATCTCCTCCACCATCTTTTCTAATTGCTCCACTCCACCATCCATCCTCGTTCCAGCCATATCCCAGAATATCACCACTCTGATACCAAAACTGATAGAGCCTGTAAATAACAGTGAAATACTGGAAATGAATTATAGCCAGTATTCCTTTTATTGAATGGAAAATGAGAGAATACAATGTCTATTGCCCTTCCCTAACGGAAAAGCTTAATGAAATAGTAAAACAAAGCTCACCACGATACAAAGAAAATAAACTCTCAGTCCGGTTTTCGAGAGACCAGGCACCTCTCCTCACCAATCCTCTCTATCTCCCCTTCCTTTTCCCCTCTCACTCTCTTAAACGCACTCCCACAATGACATGTTAGAAAATCGTCACACCAAATTCTGGCCACTCCCATTCGGTCCACTTCCATTTGGTCCTTCCCTCTCTTGTGCGTTATGGTCTGGACTGGTTCTATTTTCTTTAGCTCTCTTTTTGTAAACTTGGCCCTAAGATTTTCTAGGCCCATCACTGTCCTACATCTATTGGACATTCATACTGGAAATCATGGGAAATTGAAAAAGAAAAATACTTAGATACATTAGAATTTCCTGGGTTGCCACTTGAGTTCCATGTTCAAGCTTCTTCATAGATGCTTTGTTAATTAATGAGTGATTTTTGAGAAATTTAATGCTGACGTCCTTGGTATTTGACACCTTCATTTATTGCATATGCATTTTGCCAATTATCATCTTTTCCTTGAGCCTTCTAATTGACTTGACTTCAGTCTGAAATGTGATTAAATTATTCTCTGGTGGCAGATCTGGGATTGCAACAACACCGTCTTGATGGGGATGACTATCTTGCTGTTATAGATGAATTCATGCAAGCTGTCTTTACTCGTTGGCCACATGTTATTGTACAGGTTTATTTTTGTTGCAGTAATGAGATTATGTGGAGAAAATACAAGTAGCGTCTTGGATATGTCAGTTATATGTCTTAGGCGCATATTTTGCAATAATAGTTTTCATTAGGAAGTAGTATTGACAACTTTTGAATTATAAGGATTTTGTGATAGTTTTCATACTTGTACAGTTTGAAGATTTCCAAAGCAAGTGGGCATTTAAGTTATTGCAGCGGTATAGAAATACCTACAGGATGTTCAATGATGATGTGCAGGTATATATCTCTTTTATTTAAGGACTTATCATATCCATCATTTTCTGGGGTGCTATTATGACAACTTGGATCTTCAGAGTTTAGTATAGTGGCAATTACCTGTACCAATACGTGTTTAGGGCTGTTTGATGTCATGGTCCAAATTTGAGGGGATGTGTGTAAGTATTAAGAATTTATTTCTTATTGATGTAAATAGAACAATGTAAATTTTTCTTAGCTCTTGGGTCATTTTTGGAGAATAATTTTTGGCTCCTTCCCTCACTTGAATATCAGAAATTTATTAAAAAAAGAATACAAATTCTCTAAGGTATTTATGAGGAATTTATAATAATTGGTTGTAGTTGAATTTGTCTAAAGCACTATGCTAGGTATCTGCCTTTTTTAATGGAAGATCTTGTCACCTAAATTAGTATTGGATTAAACTCTGTATTTAAAATTGGAGAATTATTTGTAATTTTTATCATGAATTACTTCCCACCTGGCTCGATATATCTATAATTCTCCTGACAGGGAACAGCTGGAGTTGCAATTGCCGGACTTCTAGGTGCTATGAGAGCACAAGGAAGGCCAATGATCGACTTTCCGAAAATGAAAATTGTTGTTGCTGGTGCTGGAAGGTGAGTTTTTTGCATTAATATTTTATTGTAAATTACAATTCCTGCATTTAATTCTGAAAACTTTTTACCATGTTACAAGCTACAGGGTTTCAAATGGATTGTTTTTTTAGAAATAAGATATCTATATTTAGAGAATGCATGAGATCTTGAAAGAAACAAGTTGGAAGATGGGACATGGACATGGAGATGGGTAAAAAAGAAGAATGCGAAGGAGGAGGAAGAGCTTCCATATGTATTTTACCATATGTATTTTAAAGTGTAGATGGGGACGAAAAGAGATTAATGAAGATAGCACTAATTATTTTTAAATTAAAAATTATAGTCAACAACAATAGCAGCAACAACAAAGTCTTATCCCATCGGCTCTATGGACCGCACGATGCCATTGAGTCCTATCCAAAGTCAAATCTTTGGATAGATTGTTAATTGAAAGATCTCTTTTAATAACTTCATTAAGTGTTGTCTTCGGCTTTCCTCTACTCCTTTTTAGAGGATTCCATACTGTTTGCTCAACTCTTCTTACTGGCGCGTCCCAAGGCATTCTTTGCACATGACCAAACCATCTCAATCGGTTTTCTACTATTTTCTCTTCAATAGTAGCCACTCTAACTTTTCCTCTTATATGTTCATTACGGATCTTGTTTTTCTTGTATGACCACACATCCATCTCAACATTCTCATCTTAGCAACTGCCATTTTATGTTTATGTTGTCCTTTTAAAGCCCAATACTCGCTGCCATATAGCATTGCCGGTCTTATAGTAGTGCTATAAAACTTTCCTTTGACCTTATTTGGTACTTTCCGATCACAGATAACTCTTATCGCTTTTCTTCATTTAAACCACCCAGCTTGAATTTTATGATTAACATCTCCATCAATTTCTCTATCTTTTGTATAATTGATCCCAAATATTTAAACTTTTCCATTTGTTCAATGACTTGGTCTCCCAATCTGACTTCCAACCCTGTACTAACTTGTCTCTTATCAAAATTGCGATGCATATATTCCGTCTTGCTTCTACTCAAAAGGAAACCCTTCAATTCCAAGGTTCTTCTCCATGTCTCAAGTTTAGCGATAATCTCTTCTTTTGACTCGGCCAATAGAACTATACTATCAGTAAAAAGCATGCACTTCGGGATTTCTTCTTTGATATGCTTAGTTAGAACATTGAGGACTAGGTTAAACAGATAAGGGCTTAAAGATGATCCCTGATATAGGCCAATCCTTATAGGAAAGTCCTTTGTCTTACCGCCTGGTGTTCTAACGCTAGTGACCCCCTCATACATGTCTTGTATGATTTTAATATAAGCGACACACACCCCTTTCTTCTCCAAAGCTCTCCAGAGCACTTCTTTAAGCACATGGTCATAAGTTTTTTTCCAAATCAATAAAAATCATATGCAAGTCTTTTTTATAGTTTCGGTACTTTTCCATTAAACCCCTTAGTAAATAGATCGCTTCTGTTGTCGATCTTCCTGGCATGAACCCAAATCGGTTTTTAGAGATACAAGTCTCCAATCTCAACCTATGTTCCATCACCTTCTCCTATAATTTCATGGTATGGCTTATGAGTTTAATCCCTCTGTAGTTAGCACAGTTCTGAATATCCTTTTTATTTTTGTAAAGAGGCATTAAAGTACTTTTCCTCCAATCATTAGGCATTTTTTTGGAGCGCAAAATCTCATTGAATAACTTAGTAAGCCACTGCACCCCACCTTCACCCAAACATTTCTAAACTTCAATAGGAATACTATCAGGTCCAACTGTTTTATTATTTTTCATTTTCTTGAGAGCTTCCTTAACTTCACAAACTCGAATTCTTCGATAAAAAGCAAAATTATGTTTCTCTTCTCCAATTGTCAAATCTTCAAGCTCATGAGTTGATCCTTTACTCCCATCATTAAATAGCTTATAAAAGTAAGCTTTCCAACGATCCTTAATATCACCATCAGTAACCAAAACTCTACGTTCTTCATCCTTTATACATCTTACTTGGTCCAAATTTCTTGTTTTTCTTTCTTTATTCTTTGTGATCTTGTAGATCTTGCATTCCCCAGCCTTAGTCCCTAGATCCTTATAGAACTCCTCAAATGCTTTAACACGAGCTTCTCCCACTGCTCTCCTAGTCTCTCTTTTAGCTACACGGTACCTTTCCTAATTTTTAGTATTATTACATAAATGCAACACTTTAAAACACTCTCGCTTATGCCTAATTTTCTCTTGCACGTTCTCGTTCCACCACCACGTCTTTTTATCTCGCCAACCTCGACCTTTCGATTCATCCAAGATTGTTTTAGCAGCCTTTTGGACCTTTTTAGTCATTTCTATCCACATAAGATTACCATTTCCTTGTGGCTCCCTAACCCCTTCATTTAAAAGCGTCTTTTTGAAAATCTCTCGCTTCTCTCCCTTTAATTGCCACCATTTGACTTCTGGGGTTAACACTTGTTGGCGCTTTTGTTTTATACACTTAGTACGTACATCAAGGATCAATACTCTATGTTGTGCTGTCATGCCATCTCCAGGAATCACTTTACAATTTGTGCAGAGTTTTTTATTAGGATTAGAAAGAAATAGATCTGCGGCCTATGGGTTCCACTCTTGTAAGTGATTAAATGCTCATCCCGCTTCTTGAAACAAGTGTTAACAATCTTGAGGTTGTACGCAAGGGAGAAATCAATAATAGCTTGCCTTTCATTATTACGCACTCCAAAACCTATACCACTGTGAGCCCCAGCATATTGTCCCGTGATAGGATAGAAATAGAAAAGAGAGATAGAAGAGGGTTCAGGGAAGGAGAAAGATGAAGAAAGATAGGAATTAGGAGAAGAGAATCAGAGGAGGGGTGATCCAAGGGAGAAGACAGAGAGAAAAACAGAGAGCATACTGAATAGTGCGCTGTATATTCATGAAATCAATACTGTACAATGGGTACCCTGGTCATGTCTATTTATAGGCCTAATTACAAAACTAATCCTACTTAAATAACTCTCCTAACGATTAGTGACCGTTGCTCCTACTACTATTTAAAAATAATTAGAATAATACATCAATACCCCCCTCCCAAAAGATCCTTGCCCTCAAGGATTTGGAATAACAAAATCTGGAAATTGTTGCTGAAAACTATAGAGGGGCATCCAGGAGGCTTCTTCATCCAGTAAACCTTGCCACTGAACAATTATTTCAGTAATTAACTTCCTTCTTTTTCCGGCATTTCTTTTTCCCAAAATCTTCTCTGGAGCTAGTGCTAGTGGCACTTCAGGAAAATCAGGGGGTGGATGTCTAGGTTTAACAGAAGGGTTGGGCACAATTTTAGTAGAGAGACATAAAAGTTGTGGTAATTATGTAAATATTATTATTGTAAATATCTTAGGCTATTATTAGGGAATAGATTACGGGATAATAGGAGGAGGATATCATGGGATTTTATTTTGACGATTGTGACGATCTCAACTATTGATGGTTGAAGATCTCCCCTGTACTCTATATATTCGCTGATTCAATACAGTAAAGATCAATCGGATTATTCAAACCGAAAGTATTCCACATGGTATCAGAGCAGAACGATACCTGCTCCGTTAACTAATCTACCTCTGCACGTCGCACCTATCGGGAGTTCCTCTCGGCAATGGCGGGCTCCCTTGATGGGTCATCAACCATCGATATCGTAAAGAGTGGAGGTCCCTCCGGGTCGATCTCTGCCTTCGATGGATCCCCCGTATCAATTGTTTCCGAAAAGCTCACTCTCACTAATTATAGAGATTGGGCACAAGCTGTTCAACTCGCCGTGGGTGGTCGCGGCAAACTTGGGTATCTAACTGGAGAGACGCCGGCACCGTCCGATAGTACCTCTGCGGCAATGCACCAATGGAAGATAGACAATGCACTTGTCTCGTCGTGGCTGGTGAACGCAATGTCTCCCCAACTCAAGCGAAGTTTTATGTTTCTCCCTACGGCTAAAGCAATCTGGGAGGCAGTCCGTGACTCTTATTCATATGGGACTGACCACTCTCGGCTATACGATCTCCGGCGCCAAACTTGGCGGTCTACCCAGGGTGCACGAAGTGTCACGGAGTTCTGGCTGGAACTTGTCGCCTTATGGCAGGAGCTCGATCTCTTGGCAGAAGAGGAATGGACGTCTGCTAGTGATGCTGCTCGGCATAAGAAAAATGTTGACACTGAACGAGTGTTGCTATTTTTAGCCGGCCTAAATCCCGAGTTTGATGATGTACGGGGTCGGATATTGAGTCACACTACTCTGCCATCTACTAGAGAGGTGTATGCTGAAATCTTGCGTGAAGAATCTAGACGTGGGGTAATGTTGCTTGACCCGAAACCTCCTTCTTCTTCTGAATCCTCTGCCTTTGTGAGTCATGGTACAGGCTCTAGTAGTCATAACAATCGAGGGAAAATGACATGCGATCATTGCAAAAAGGTGGGTCATACTCGGGATAAATGCTGGGATCTCCATGGTAAGCCAGCTGACTGGAAGCCACGGAAAGGTAAACCACGTGCTAATCATGTTTCTGAATCACCAGACACGGTTTCTAAGCCTGAACCAACTCCTGCCGTAGCCCCTATTATGAGTCAAGAGCAAATGGGTCAATTATTTGAGTATTTTAAAACTCTACACACCAAACAGCAATCTATTCCATCAGCAACTATTGCTCATCGAGGTAATCATGCTGTTGCACTAAACACCTTTGTTCCATCGAAGTGGATTGTTGATACAGGTGCTTCTGATCATATGACGTCAGAAGAAAAAATGTTTGTTTCGTATCTTCCATTGGCTGAAAGGAAAACAATTCAAACAGCTACAGGTTCTACATCCCCGATAGCTGGCACTGGAACTGTCCATCTTTCTGAGAAATTACATCTTAACTCTATTTTACATGTTCCCCACTTGGCTTGCAATCTCCTTTCTATTAGTAAACTAACCAACAAGTCATTGCTCTGCTCACTTCTTTCCTACTCACTGTATTTTTCAGGATCTCTCATCG